TAAAATATGTTTTTCTTAAACGTCAGTCATCACACGTTTGATTTTTTTCGTTTATCTTTTTGTTTTTATATATCTCCCTGATTTTTTTTTTCAATATATTTATACAATATTATTCGTATTATTTACGTACATATATAAACTTAAATTGTATAATCAATTGAAAAAATAGGAATGACGTCTACTTACTTTCTTATATTTTAGTTTTTTTTTTCGTATGAAAGTCTACTTTTCGTTATTTCCCACATTCTTAGGAAGTTTAGACGCTATTTACTAAGAATAGAATAAGTATAGAAGAAAAATAATTTAAGTAGAAGCGATACAATACAATAAGCAAAAAAGAGAACTCGAAATGAAAGTAATAATCTGTTATTATTGTATTTCTTTTTCAAAAATACAGTTAAATCTGAGGAAGAAGTGTGTACGTGTATTATATATGTACGTAAAAGACTTATTATTGAAAATATATTTTCCATCTCTTGATTTGCAGTCACTCCACTCGGATCTATACAAAGAAATAATTGTTCATTGTTCATTTACAAATATTTTAACCAAAGTTAGCAAATATATTAGGCTATTGGAAATTTATTTATTTTATCGAAAAAATATTAACGAGTTCTATACAGTCCTACAAAAAATATATCAGCCAGTTTTCGCTTGGGAAAAAAATTCATATCGCGGTTCACAAAGAAAGCCACCTCTCAAAACTAAATTGCAATGTCAAACTAAATGTTATAACAAGTAAAAACGGTTCAGTCGATCTAAACCGACTTAGTTACACCCTGACACACCTTGACAGTCTGAGTATAAAAACTTTATTTTTGAAATATTTAAAATTAACTCATATGACTGTATGGCAGTTACTCGAACTTGTCAAATGATTCCTTATAAATTTCACGAATATATCTGGCCTATAATTGGATACATGACAGTCAAGTTTTATGTATTTAAGCTTTATTTTTTTATTAAATATTTAAAATAAGTGTTTTTAAATGCATTTTATGCATCGGAGTAATGTATGAAATATTATTTTTTATAATTTACACAATTATTTTTGCTATACCGATAGATTACAACATTTAGACAATTTAATATAACTACATAAATATGTATACTATCATGAATGTATGTGGACTCCAATAAGTTTCAATTTGACGATGTAAAAACAAACAGTTTTTTTTATTTTCTTCTCTTAAGAATTTTTTTCGTTCAATCTTTTCAATTTCTTTGAGTTTTGTTGTTAATTTTTTTTCTTAATATTTTGATCTTTAAAATTTCCTAATTTATTATCCATATAGTATAAATTTCTCTTTTTATTTCTTTTCAGATTGTTGTGTTTGTCTCATTTTCCCGTCTTTCAAAATAGCAATAGCAAACATTTTGATGTACTTATGCAATGTATGTAGAATGTGTGCACATACTGATATTAATTTTCCACTTAAATATTATTTTATACATGTGAATGTAAGTACATATGAACATAACAATGTCTTTTCGACATTATTTAATGTTTATTTTGATCATAAACTACATTTTTATTTTATAAGATAATAATCACAAAGGACATTACGAAAAAAAATACAAAAAAGAAACATTCTCTCTTGATGTTTTCTTTGAATTTAAGAATCTAGAATAGCAGAATATGATACGTATACGAATGGGCCAATTTAGTCATGTGGTAGTACATAGGTGCCTGTATGAAGCTTGAAAATTAATCAATGGAATAAGGTGGATTCGTTCTTTCCACACAGAAGACAAACGTACAAATGCATAATATGTACTATACATTATATTATTATATAATATGAAAGAAAATTATCCCACTACGTGATGTGATTCAATATGATGACGTGTGTTATTTTTCCATAGTTTATCTTGGCGAAAAGATCCTTAAAACTATATATACGATGTATGATAGTGATACAAAAATATTACCGCAGTCCTTAAATTTTATTATATAATGTATATGTTTTTTTACTCTATATTAATTTAATAATAGTATCGGTATAAGGGTGTGTTCATAACACCATATAATTTAAGAATTCTTATTAGAGTTATGCAACATACAACAATACTTGAGTTAATATACATGTTGGTATATTTGTATCTCTATTTCAATGTGAATTTGATTAAATATACTGATAAGAATTTACCTGTTATAAAATGAATGATATCAATTTAATCCTGATGCGTATATACATATATGTATACATATATATGTGTTACCGTTACTATAAAGTAACGGTGGTATAAATCTCCTTATATTTGTATGTTTGTACAAGAATATTTTATTTAAAGATATGAGAATGAGGGTTGACAGGAGATTGAGAATATTTTGTAAAAATGCATGTACATATATACATACATTTATGCCGACATAAATACAATTTTTTATGTGATAACGTGGTAAATTTAAACAAAAAAAATATGGATGTATCGTTTTAAATTAGGTATAAAATTATAATTTATGCTTTGTAACCGTTATGCCATTATCAGAATTGTGAAGCAAAATTTGTTCAATGTATGTGTTTTTTTAATACGAGTAATAACTTTTGCCAAAGTTATGATTTTTTTTATTTTTCTTTTTGTCATTGCAATTTATTTCTGCAATTTTAAGGAAGAGATGATATTATTTATGAAGAAACAATTTTCTCTTTAAAAAATTAAGTAAAGTACATGTGTGTTTGAGTAATAGGGAGTGAATATTGATCATTTATAGGTAAACTTATAATAATATAAAGAAATAGTTTTCCGCAAAAACGCTACTCGGAAGTAAATTAATTTCGTGATCAAACTTTATAAAATTTTTCTATTGTATCGAAGGTATCAGAGGTAACCTTGATTGAATAGGTACATCATAGCCATTGGGTGAACTTACTGAACATATTAAACACTATGGAAGTCTCCCGACTTGAGATGGCAGCTATACTGAATTTTATTAGAGGCCTAGATATAGTGCTAATGTAGGTGGGTCGACCTGAGAAGTGCTTAAGAGTCTTGTTTCCGACGGGAAAAAACAAAATCATGAAAACTTTTTATGACACTTAGCAAGATTCAAATCAAATTATTAAAATTTGATAAGCACTAAATGTCGTATTATATTAAACTTTTTGAATAAAATTTCATATGAATCAACATGAACAAAATGCACAAAACAAGATTTAAAGAAAATACATACGTATTGAATACATACGTTAATAGTAAAACACACAGTAACTGCATTAGTTCACATGAGGATGAAAATGTTTCGAATGAGCTTACATATTTCAAATTTCAAGATTCATAGAATTTTGTTGGGGTACTTGTTAAAATGCAATGCAAAAACTTCGTGGAGCTTGTGATTTTGGAACTCGAATATCATCCATTCTTATCGTACATTGAAAATGTAAAGTATGCTACAAATATAGATCTAGCTTTTTAGAATTAATTTCCTAAAAAAATATCCTAATTCTCTCTATCCGTAAGATATTCAATATCATATTGTATGTATAATTTTCAGAGATTTACAATTATTTTATTATGCATGCCTGTCTCATATATGTATGTACAAACGATTAAGACAAAACCATTATATCTACTGCTTGATTCTTTTAATTAAATATTTTAATAAAAAAAAATAACAAAAATCAGATAAAAAATTATTTTTAGTTGCGCTTACAATATGCAAAGGCAAAAAAAAAACTTTTTTTTTTTTCATTTTACATTCCTTGAAACTGTTTGAAAAATATCATGGAAATTATCATTAATCTTTCTAAAATAAATCTGCAAACATATTCCAAAATGAAATAAAAATTAATAAGGATACCAAAGAAAAGAAGAAAAAGTATAACAAAAAACAAACAACTCTGATTACACGTAATACAATAAACCTTGAAAAATAATAAATTGGGCTCAATAAAATATACACACACAAAAGCTAACTAAATTGACATACCAGAAAGATAAAAGGGTCTGATTACTTTAAAAAAAAGGAGAAAGAACAGATAAAATCGCAAAAAAAAACAATAACCACAAGGCAAAAAACAAAAAAATAAAGGCAAAATTAAATTTATCCTTAATAAAACGGTAAAAACAAAAAAATTATAATAAGTAAAAATAAAAATAAATAAAAAGTACTGAAAATTTGCAAATAAAGTAACAAAATAAAATCTCCAGACATTCATGAGAAATACACCGGATTAAAATTAACGATTCAACAATAATTCCATAGAAAATAACAGTGAAAACAACAACAACAAAAATACCTGAGTATAAAATTGGATAATTTTCGGCATAGTAAACAAGACAGAAAGGATTTATTTTTATATATTTTCTCTCTTTCTACCTTTCGATTTTCTTTTATTTTGATTTTTGATTTGTTTTTTTTTTTTGTCATGTTATCAGACCAATTATATTAAGTAGAGAAAATATATAAGAATGTAGGTAGGCACCTTCTTTTTAGTTAATTTTTTCGCTTTGTTAAAAAATCAGACATCCTTAAATTAAATCATCATAATTAAGAGATAAAAGTAAGTTTCAATACAAATATTTAAAATAAAGGTAAAATAATGTAATAAAATGTGTGTGTATGGTATTTATGGTATATAAAATTTTTCAAAAAACTATAATATTTTGCTCAATTTTATTAAATTGAATCTTTAATACAAGAGAATAACTTTTTCTAATAATTGAAAAATTGGAGCAACGAATTTGTGTTGAGTTTCTTATTAATTTGGTAATGACTTAACAATTAAATTTAAACTTGTTTAATAAATAACGCAATTATAAATAAATACGTAATAGTATTTGTTACTTTCGACAAAAAAAGTAATTTTATCATGACTAAAATATGGATAGAATTTTTGTTTTATTAATTTCTCCTTTCTGATATTTTTTCACCGTAAATGAAAAATCAAAAAGATTGTCAAATATAACTATAATTTTAAATTGATAGTCAAATTAGTTAAACTACCCTATCCACAGTTAGATTAATAGTAGTTACAATTGTGTTTTTGTTTTTACAGAAATTGCAGAACTGATTCCGGAAAAATAAATTAGAAAAAAAAATATTTTTCAATATTTTAATAATTGAAATATACACATGAAATTAATAAAGTATATACCAACAGAAATGACAGCTGTTCACGATTCGTACTTAATAAAAATAACGCTTTAAAGCAAGACGTTGTTATCTTAGCACCTTTCTAGAAACAAGAATTTTCTTCAACAATCAAATTAGGAATTAATTCAATAAATACGTAGTTGGGATAGTTAAATCATCAACAACCGGACATAAAAAAAAAAACAAAGGAAGATTAATAATTTGGAAAACAAAAAGAAACAACAAAGTCCAAAAATATTTGCCCCGAATAAACAGGATAATAAAATTATAATGATCTCGAATTTTACCATAACTTAAAATGATTTAAGAAACCAGGTTATCAAAAAAAATTAAATATAAACAAAAGAAATCAACCACAATCATAGCAGAGTAAAGTAAATTGTAAATAGAAGGACTGTAAAAGGATATTTTATATTATATGTGAGTATTATAAATATTTACAATTTCATTTCTATATAAAATAAAAAAATTAATTTTTTTATTTTTAGTTCTTATGAAAAATCGAAAAAAAAGGTGGATATTTTTAAAAAGAAAAACAAGAAGAAAATTATTACGTTCGAATAGTATTCTATGTATCCTTTATGCTCATTCTATTATCCTTGATAAAATAATTTAAGGGATAAAACAAAATATTACAAAAACCAAAAAAAAAGAAATAAAAAAGGAAGGATCAATACATTTATTGTTTTATTGACGGAAAATAAATAAAACAAAACAAAAATAAAATAAAATTAAATTTAAGAGGAAACAAATAGAAGCAAAGTAAGGAGCAAACCTCCTTACCCAAAAATAAAAAAGGGAAAACAAATATAATAAAATGAAATGAATTCCTGCGTAGCTATTTTTTGATTAAAATTATGTTATACAAGCAGTTTTACCTTTAATTGTAGTTATTTGTGTTCAATTATAATTTATGTTATTAGGTAAGTGGTTCTTTTTTTTTTTTTTGTTTGATTTATTATTTTTTGATTTAATAATAATTGTGATTATCTTAAATTAATCTATTGTTAGTTATATCAGAGTTCATTGATCCTTGATTTAAAAAAAATTAAAATAAATAGAAATATGTACATAGTTAAACATTCCTTGTATATTTATGTGAAATGTTTTAAATTTCACTAAAAAAATTTTAAGGAATAGTATATGAAATTTTTTAAATCACATTTTATATTAGAGTTTAAATACAATTTTTGTTAAGACTAAGAGAGATCAATTAAATATGAAGTTAAATTAGAGTAAAATTTAAAAATATTCAGGGCTTTTTCGATAATTCAGTTCTGTACTGAAAGATCTAACTTAGGTTTGTAAAAGCTTTTTACGCATACTTACAAACTTCTACAACCTGAATGACATATCTTTGCATGTCTGAAATGTCTAAAATTTTTTTTAACAAGCTTTTTTTTTTGTTGTTTGCAAATTGTCAATTTTATAAAAATAAAAAAAGAAAGATGTCTGAAGAACAAAAAAAAAATTCTAAGCAAATATGTTACTGATCAGATAATTGATCTACTTAATGAAAAAATTGAAAAAAGTAATATACGTTTTTATCTGGAAAATAAAAGAAGACGAAAGCATTTGTTACTAACATACATTAAAAAAAACGAAAAGAACCTTGTACCTAAGGTACCCAATTACTTAGAAACAATCAATTTGATGCCGGATACCATATTTTTTGGACATTTCAGGATGGAGCGCGATTGTTTTGTAGTAAATTTTTTTTTTCTAGCTCTCTATGAAAGGAAAACATAAATTATTAAATGTACAAAACAAAAATTGCATAAATTTACCCCATTAATTCTTCAATATCCGACATTTTTCTATTTTACTAATTTTCACTTTTATTGCAGTATTAAAAAAAAATCTTTAAAATTGCCTAAGAACTTAAAGCTCAATCGTATTTTCGAACGAGCTTTTTTTGCACGAGAACATTATCGAACATGCTACTTTTACAGATTTTGCAGATTCGATTTATCCAACGTGCTTTACATTCAGAACTAAATTAGAACTGAATTAACGAAAAAGCCCTCACATAAAAGTATAGATCGATTTCACTAAACCTAAACTGTACGATATTTGTAGGTAATTTTGAAATAAAAAATAGAAAAAATACCAAATATTAAGAGTTAGCGACAAAAAAAAGTTATATTGTGATCATTCATTCCTTTGAGGATTAAACTTAAGTCAGCATTAATCGCAGAATCTCTAGTCTATCAAATGTAGGTTCTTCATAAATAAATTAAAGGCTGGAATATCGAAATCCCTGGCGTAATAAATATTATCGCCCAGTATATGATTTATAAATTTAGTGTTCAATGTTCTATAGCTCATCAATTTACAATAATTATTGTATCTGCATTGTATGTATATAGAAAAACTTTTATCATTAAATTAAAATTAATTTTATTAAATCCAAACAATTCCAATAATAAATTACTTTTTTTTTTCAAAATACATATTGAATTATAAATTACTTATACCCGCAAATATGCAATTAAACTAATAAAATTAAAATTAATGAATACATACTAAATACGTGATCTTATTATCCTTTGAAATTTCATTTAAAATAGGTTTAATAAAATGTTATAAAAAAGCAAAATCGAAAATAAAATTGAAAACAATACAATTTTTTTTTCCTATTTTAAATTGAAAATATTTTTGTTTTTTAAAAATTTAAATTTTTAATTTTATTATTATTTGCTTTTATTTTGTTTTAGGTTTAAGGAATGTTCTGAAAATTACACATATACATACATAATATATGCGTCTAGAAATAAAGGATAAACTCAATAAAATTGAAACTGCCATTAAATAATAAGTTATCATCATCTTTTTTAATAACTTTTAAAATATATTGGCTACAAAAGCACATATCATATTACATAAGAGCACATATTGCCAAAGGATAATAGAAAATATCCTGATTTAAAATTTAAAATTCAAGTAAATAAAATAACAAATGAAAAAAAAAAACAACAAATCAATAGCAGAGTTGGTAAACTGTAGTAAGAGAAATAAAAATAATAAAAATATTAAAAATTTAAGGACATTATTGAAACACTTCTATTGAATCTTATATAAAGGACAAACACGTTTTCAAATTCTTAAAGTGTATGTACTTTATATGTGACGTACATGTTTGCAATATTAAAGTAAATTTTTAAAGTGCAATAAAGATATAAGAAAAATTTTATTTTGCTATTGAATTTAAAATGATTCAAATGCGTTAAGCTAAAGTTTAAAATTTTTATAACTTTAATATAGAATCTTAAATGGATTGTTAATATACATACATACATTGATGCTTAATATGGTATAACTATATTTTCTGTACCTACAAAATTAATCCCAAAATACTTAAAATTTCATTATTTAATTTAAAACTGTTATGGTGTTTTACTTTTTGTCCAGATAAAAGGATGTAATGAAAAACAATAATAGATACCCATCTACCTACATCCTATTGAGAAAAAAAACAATGAATTTTTAAAATTTTCTATTTTGCTGCAGTGTTTCTACCAGTTTTTCATGCTAAGAACAGCAATAAGTAAAATTATTTTTAACAAAAAAAAAAAAAAAAATTGTGAGAAGAAAGGAATAAACATCATTACTATACACTTATAAATTTTTAAAGACAACTGCATGTGGAGAGTGCTGCTTTTGTTACTACTTTAATTTGAAAATCGTATTAAAACCAAAGTAAAAAGGTAAAGGAACTATAGTCACAAACAAATAAAATCTATATAAAATAAATTGCAGATTAAAAAATATTTATAAGAATCTATATAGAAAAATAATAACGCAATGAATCGGAAACGTTCATTTAGACGGCGCCAAAAACCACCATTTAGTGAAAGAGCAAAAGATCATTGCAGGAAATTTACAGCATTTTTATTCAGTAATGTTGGAATAATACTTTTGGTCGTATTATATACAATTGCAGGTAATAAAATACCATTTATATTTGTCATATTCCTTTGAACACAGATTAAATGATTGGTATGCATGTATGATATGCGTCCTTATATAGTCTTATTAAAAAAAATATTATATTGTATGTGCATCAAACATTTTAATACGAAGTATGAATTAAAGTTAATTAAAAATTTTTTTAAATAATTTATATTATGCTGTGTTTGCGCCATATCATTCCGTTGGCCAGCATCCCTAGATCCAAAAACAAAACAAACTATTCACTCCATTACTTCAAGCATTTTGAAAAAATTAAAAATTTCCATAAATATCGAATTTCGATAAATTATCAAAGCTCCCTGACTATATCCAAAAGTACTCTGTTCCACTCGGATCTCAAATTCTTGAAAATTTGAAAAATTCTTGAAAATCGTTTTTAAAAAATCTATTTGAAACTAGAATAGTTCAATAGTATAGATTATTACGCTTGCTCTTGAAAATTTCACACATGCATTCAGAATATTACAAAAATAACCAAAAACTTCCAAGCCAATCAATGTACTAACACGGTGCATTTGTTAGGGTATTATAAGTCTGTGATTTCAACTGAAAAACAAGTAAAAACAAAAATTATGGAATCGAAATAAATAAAAAGATAAAGTTTCCAATTTTCATTTTGATTTTATTCGTTTTATGTATGTGAAAAATAACGAGAAAGTTAAGAAAGAAATAAAAAAGAATGAGTTGCAATTCAAGAATTTTTTTAATTTAATCGTGTACGTTGTAATAAGATTTAATTTCATACCTAATAAAATAACATACAAAAAAAGGTGATAGAAGCTGCTTTACACAAAACATATAAAAAGGTAAAAAAACAACCAAAATCTATAGTTGGGAAAAATAAAAATTTTTGGGTGTTACACAATATTATAGATACACATACTGGTATATTTGAAAGTATTCAGAGCCGGGTTTATGATGTAAAAAGTCTTAATCTAAAAGTCACAGAATTGTTTGTGAAGAAAAGTTCGCAGTCAATAAAACAATGTAAAATTAGTGCAACAATTTCAATGACAAACTGTTATCACTTGGGGGAGCTGCTTAACTAAAAATTAAAAAAAAAAAGTTTTTGTCACCAATAATTGACGAAGCAATGCATAAATTCTAGATTAATCAAAACCTATGATTAGATTTTTTCATGACTATTACAATATATAAGTTATTTAAGGTGAATTTTGTGATCGCGTTAACATAGTTCAACAACTTGTGTGATCCAGTCAAAATTTAAACAAATTTTCGATTGGGAGATAATTTTTTAAACCAAAAGCTCTCGGTTAGAATACTAAGAAGACTGAGTCTGAAATTAGTTCCGGCACTGCATATGTTAAAGTATATATGAAAATATACATACATATGTATATTTTTGAAGTAAATTTTTTATGTAGAGAAAATTTGAAAAATTTCTCCTATTAAATATCAACTAGAAACTATTTATGTACTTATATTGTAAAAGAAAACTTATACAATTGGCAATGTTGCACTAGACCAAATGAAAATGAAACAAATTTGAACGTTCTGTTTTCATTTTATTCTTAAAAGTTCTTAATAAAATGAGAAAAAAAAAAGAGAAATTTGTGTTGAAAAAAGTTCAAATTTTTTTGATAAATAAGAAAAGTTTTACAGTTTTTATAGTTTTAAAAGTTTAGATTTGTGGGAAATAATTTTTTGAATTTCAAATTCGTTAACTAGAAATCGAACTAAAAAAAATATTAAAAATTATTTGTATGTAAAACACATAACTAAATTAGAAAATAAGAAATAATTTGACCCAAATAATGAGAGTTTAACCGGGTTTTTCAAAATATTTGAGAGATTTCGGGTTTTCATTTCGGGTTTTTCAAAAATATTTGTTTTTCAATATTTGTCTCTTCTTGCTTCTTAAAACTCTCTGTAGGATTTAAAACTAAAATGTTTTAAAACACCAACTCAGGTTATTCGGTTTTTAAGGTATAGAGTTTTGGCAAAAATATTTATATATAATTAAATATAAAATTTTTGCATAAAGTTAATTAATTATAAATTTAATCGTACTTTGAAATATTTCTTTTTAGGTGCATTCATGTTTCGTGCAATTGAATTAAGCGAAGCAAAGAAAAATGATGAAGTACAAATGTATAATCGTACAGATACAATAACTGTGATATTAGAAGATTTATTTAATATAAGCAGTAGTTTAAGTGCATTAAATAAAACTGAATTTTATATTAGGTAAGTATATAAATTAATATTTTTAGTATTTGTGTGCTACCAATTTTTTTCAGAAATATATTTTTGAATAATTTAATCACTTTTATAGTTTTAGTGTGAAAAATATAATATAATTCAATATGGAAAAGCTTCGGTTCTATGAAACTAGTCTTTTCAATATTGTTGCAATGCGATAATGTGAGAGAGCGAAAAGAAAAAACTAGCCTTGAGGCCTTTCTTTTTCAACTTTTTTTTTACAAATAATTTTAATATCAAAAGTTTTAAAGATTACTTTTTCGAATTGATTTCTGTAACTTTCAGATTGATTAATTATGCTTCAAGGAATATTTTGTCTTTTTTCCCAACATTGCTGCTTTTTCGTTTTTTTAATTTCCAAATAGCTTATAGAATTTAAACAATTTGAATTAAAAATAAGGGAGAATTTAAATTATTATCTATTTTTTTATATTCAGGAAATTTCAAACAAATGAAATACATATATAAACACATATAGTAAACCTACACTTTTTAGTTTTCTGTTACCCTATCGTACTTTAATAAAATTTCATTTTGTTCGGAAATAAGGATAGTTGAGAAAAATAAAAAAGAAAAAAAATAAGAACTAATGTCCTGATAAAATATTGGAAAACCGCACAAAAAGTAGAAAAAAATTAAAAGTTTCTATGTATATAATAGAAATAGCTACATATATTGTGACTATGCTTACATAACGTAAACCTTCATACATATAACGATACAAGCATATTTCGCACGTTTATTTTGTAGATAGAAGATGAAAAAATGAAGAAGAATGAAATAGACAAAGAATGAATCAAAACTGATTTTCAACAATTTCACCTCATTTCCTATTAAAGGATGTGACGTGAATTAAAAAACAAAATAAAATAAAAAAAAAACATAAAATGTAAAATGTTAGAAACATTTGTAAAATAAACTGAAAAAGTGATAAAAAAAATACAGAAGGGTGAAGAAGATGATTCTGAAGAAAAGTTGAAAGACCTTATCGTAATCGATTCATTCCATTCGTATAATAAGAACACCTTCAGTCTAATCAAATAATGTTCTTATCTCAAGCAAAAAGGGACCTTCCGAACCATTTGTTGTCTCTCAATAGAATAGGCTAAAGAATGTTTGTAGGGATAATAATCAAACACAGTCACGTACGGAAAAACATGGATAAGTGTAGCACTACATTTAACGTACGACTGTGAGAAGTAAATCCAACATGTTGGACATAAATAACTGACTAAAAATTTCCACATGATTGTGGGAGAACGTTCAAGCTCTTTATCCGGCACCGTTCACCTTCCGGCAAAATTAAGATATTATTAGCATTGACATATTTACGATGATCCTAAATGGATCATCAAATATATATACACACAGACATTATAATATAACAACATAGATTTTGCCATACATTTAATTATAACCAAAAAAGCAAACTAGTAATGGAATAATAAATTTTACATACCCATTCTAAATAAATCTTAAAGTATCAAAATAGAGAAACAATATAAGAAAAGAGACCGAATAAAGAACTAGATTAGCAAATGTGGATTTCTTGAAGACATTTTTCTAAAAATTCTTTCTTATATACGTTCATATTGGCACATTAGAGTGAATAAGACGTGTTAGAAAAAAAGAGTAATAAATAAAGTACAGATAAAATTCTGGAAACAGGTAAACTAATTGAAAATAACTGGCCATCAGCAATCATAATCTAAACAATTGCATTAAAATTGCAAGTATCCTCTATAATGTGTCCTGTAGATTTATATCACTTTTTTAAGAAATTTTTTTTAACATTTTATTTGTGTTTTGCTGTAATTTGTTACGTTAAATATAAAACTGATCAAAACGATTACGTTTAACTCTGATAGTTTTCGGTGTTTTAAATATTTTTCTCTTGTGCGGAATTAAGCGAAAGCTCAGTAAAACAGATTTTTACCACCGTTTTTTAAATTTGAAATAATGTCCAAACTAAAGATAAGAAATTTAACAATTACTTTTCCGGAGTGTTTACTAGTAGTATACCTTTTACTTTTAACATATAGAAAATAAAACAAAAAATTCCTTACGAAACATTTGGAAATTGAGTTATGATGCGTTTTTGCTTATTTATTTTTTATCTTAAGAAATATCATTTTTTTTTTCAATTAAGTATTTGAGTTTTCATTATCGACTTGCTCTCGTTCCTTAACAGTCATGCTATTAATTAATTGCGAATTTTGATTATTATTCTTTCTTATCCTGTCTGTTAATTCATTTATATTTTCTTAAAGTGATTTTCAAGTAAATGAGGATTAAACTGTAGAAGAACGTTATTTATTCACTACGGAAACATAATAAATTGAAAAAAAAGTGCACACAATCATTTTTGAGTAAGGATAAAAATTTAATAATGGCTTCTGACTTCGATTTTGTTGAAGAAATACGAAAAGAGAACAGTTTTTAATTAATTAGAAAAATCTTCTAAATAGGGCTTAAACGTTAAAAAAATTGTCTTTATTTAAATTAAAATTTCCACTTTTTGAAATATTTGGTTTTCATTTTAATTTTTGTTGATTTCAAATGCTAAGTGCTTAAATTATTCAAAAAACCCAACGCAAAAACAAGTTTTTCATTAAAAAAATAGACAAATACTTTCTTTTTTTTTTCTAAGGGTTAATCAAAAGCTTTTAGAATTTCAACAAATTGTAATTAAAGCTGAATTAGAAGGTTCCAATGATGATACAGAAAATGATTGGACATTTTCCAGTTCATTTCTCTATTCATTAACAGTAATTACAACAATCGGTAAGTATAATGTGTGTGATTTTGATTAAGTTAAATTTATATTTTAAAAGTTTATTAAAAACCTAAATAAAATATTAAACTAAATTAAGATTTTTAATTATTAATTGTGTAGCATAATTTTTAATAATTTCTCAGTTTTATTTATGTGAGTCTAGTAAAGGTATAATCATTAACAGAAATATTAAAGATTGTTTTGATTGACAAAAATATCAGCATCAAAAACTATTCTCTTATTCAGGTGCTTAACAACATTCACTTCTTTTATTTTAAAAATCAATTTATATAATACGTGTATTTGAAATACTTTTATAATAAATTTTTAAAAATACCTATATATTATGTGCGTTGATTTCCTATACTACTATAAAATTTGCCCAACCAAATTCCCAAAAAATAAAACAAAATAAAACGATTTTAGAGCAATTAGAATTAAACCATTTTTGATAGGTATTGAAAATTTGCAAATAATTTAAAATTTTTGATGATTTTTCAATTTTTACAACTACTCTAAATGGATGTCACATTAAATATTTACCTAAATAAATGAATACACACATTATGGTATATGGATTGTGGTATAAAATTATTTTTCCAATAATTAGTTAAAATTATAGATAAATATGCAGAAAATGTGTACGTACATAATATTTAGAATAATATTATTAATCCTCTATCGAATCATACTTGAAAAATAACTTTGTTCGAAATATGTTAGGGAATGAGTTGAAAAAACTTCCACATAAATTTTTCATATAATGAACGATAATTTAACTTAAATTTAATTTCATTTTCAATTTAACTTTGACTTTGTATAAAATAAATAGCTTGTTGAACTTTTACTCTAAAAAATGTGAAAAATTTATGTCTAAAACTAAAAAATCGTTTATAACAAAATTACGGGCCACATTGTAATTAGTTGTTATGAAAAATTATTTCTAATTTTTGGTAATTTTCTAATTAATTTATAATATTCTATTTTCAATAGAAATTTGCAACTACAGAGGTTTTTTTATATAAATTAAATAAACGGCAGATCTTCTTTTGTATTCAGAGTGCTAATTTTTAAAAAATCGTTGTCAAAAATTTCTACTAAATTCTACATCATATAAAACTATAACTTTCAGGGCCGAAACGATTTTCGTAATCTTAAAAATCGTAAAGTAGCACCAGGTAATAGGTAATAAATACTAAAATCTTCATTTTCGCTATTCCATCTTCATGTACACAGGTATAATATCTAATTTTTTTTATAAACTTTTATTATTTAACCATAATTTAAATGAAATTTTGTGGTTTCAAAAAATTAAAATGAAGAAACCAAACATTAAAAAAAGAAAAATAAAAAGTGGTAAATTTAGAAAGTGTTGTGGTGATAACTTTTTGAATAGCGATCCATTTAATTTAAATGTTTATTTAATGAGAACTTGAAATTTTATATAATTTGTACCCGTGTATAGATAGTGATTGCATGCAGGGTGTATAATAAGAGCTCGTGAAGTTTTGCAATTATTACTAAATAATCTTCAATGAAATTTTTGACCTTTGCAAATTAAATCTTCAGAAAGGCGGTACATACGTACTTATATTCGCTAAGGTTATTGAAAGCCTATAAACATTATGTATGATACAGATAACGGACTCAAAACTGTGAATAAAGTAAGAACTGTTATGCAGTGAAACAATTTTTGCTATTATAAACTAATGTAGGTAGGTAGCTGCTCTACCTATTAAAAGTAACTTTAATACATCCTAAATTTTTGTCTTACATAAAATAATAAAAGTACTCGTAGGTACCTACTACCTATTTTAATTGTGTAATTAAAACAAATTACTGTCTCATTTATTTCTACGTACCATAGTTAATTACAATGGAATTTTTCAAGTTCCCAAAATTCAAATTGACAACATTAACTACATAATGTACCTACATAGGTACGTATTGTGATGCTTTTTAACTACATTTTCATTTCGAAAAACAGTAAAATGATAATTTTATGAATAGATTTTTACATATTTTGATGATTATGAGGGATAAATATTGGTTAGTAATATTTTGTAGGTGTTTTTGATAGTGATGAGTAGTATACTTACTTACCTACATAATGTATATAAAATTTTCAAATTAATTAATGCCATAAAATGGTTTTGTAAATTAGCAAAAGGAAGTTGACGAATTAAGCAAACGATATTTATTGTCATTTGGAGTCAAGATTAATTTTAAAATTTCTATCTTTTAAATAAGTATAAATTGAAAAATATAATAGGTCTAACCAATAAAAGGCTTATGCTACATACAAACATATTTAAAAACAAAACCACAAAATTTTTGCATTAAACATTTTCTACACTTTATATGCATTGTAAAACAACAAAAAAAAATTACCTCCACAAGCTATACTTAATAGATGTTTTTAATTATATAAAATAAATTTTAATTAGTTATTACGTTTTATATTACACCAGAGTATTGAAGATATTCTGATGCGATCGACACAGAATGACCTACATAAATCCATACATAATTATTTCAAAAACACACCATATTTATTGCAAATGCTGTTTACATGTACATATTTGTACATATACATATGCGTATATGATTATGTAATATTGTAATGAAAACAATTACAAAAATAAAATACGAAAGATAAATCATATATTTTAAAAATATTTTAACTTACTGTGAAATATTTTAAAGGATCCCGCACTGAAAAATACGACTGTAATGCATACACTCGTATACATACATATGTACATATGTATCCATATGTATATATAAAATGTTCAAAACTCCATTTTCTTTACTAAATAACTGTTATTTCAATTGCTCATAAGTTTTTGATATTTTTTCAGCAAAATTCAATCAGGATTTTGAAAATTATATTGCCATCATTGTATCTATGTACGTGGTAGATGCAGTAGATGAAAAATGTGTAGGTATATCCATATTTGTCTAAAATGAAAAATACCAAGTTAGTAATTAAATTGTTTTAATCAATTAACTAGTAGTTAGTTTTTTTACTATTAGTTATATAGCCAAATGCCTGTATCCAACAAAACTTTTCTCTTCTCAACATTTCTACCTTTTTAATCAAATTTTACTATAATTCAATATATTTAAATGTAAATTTACATTCTTTGTTTTTTATAATTCTTAAATAACTTAAAAAAATTTTTTTTTCTCTACTTTTTCAATTATTTGCTACCATTTGAATCATGAATGCTAATTGGAATTAGTAAAACTTAAAAATGCGCGCGATATACGGCTTTAAAAAAATATTTGTTCAATGTTTATTCAGGGATGTAACGATTCCTTAACTGTATTTGCAGGGTTTTCCTACTTTGGAAATCATCGAGTTGAAAATTGAACATGTTCGATTTCCGCGGTGAAATGTCAAAATTCATATAGAATACACATATTTGAATGGGATTGAACACAATCAAGTGATATAACTGCCACGAATTCAGCTGCTGACCGTAAATATCAGCTTCGTGTCTCTAATTCCCAGAGTGTAGTGCTTTATATAATACAAATTTTTATTGAAATAGTTAGTGTTCGAATAACAATAAAATGTGAAAACAATACGAGTACAAAATTTCATTTTCAATATTTTTAAAATCCAACATGACCATAATTTTTAGGAAATTTAAATTTTCCAAATTTTTCAATAAAAACTTAAAAAAAAATTGTTTTCGGTAATTTTATAACTTAAAAATGCATTAGCTATTATTTTCATATTGATTTGAAAAAATAATAAACAAAATTACCAATTAAGCTTATAAAATATGCAAAGATTTAATTTGTCATCATTACATTTTTATAATATAAACATTAATTTAAAATTTTCGAAACTGGCATTAGAGGTTTTCAATGGTTTTTTCAATGATTCAAATATTCAATGGTTTTTTATTAAACAATAGGATTTTTGAATGACAATTGAATATGAGTATACAAAATATAGTGATATTTTTGATAAATAGAGTATATTCAAGCAATATGAACAATATATTGATTGAAAAATCAGCTGGAGAATGGATATCAAGGCAAGTAAAATGCTGAAAAAGTTATACAGAATTTTAATTAAAATTTGAAGAGATTTCGAAACTTGATTTCTTCGAACAATGTACTTAAGGACGAGTTGAACATATTTATTCATTTTAAAGTAATAGGGCTGCAATGAACTCTCACTACTAAATACTAATCGCCGTACGCCAGCGATTTTGTCAAATTCTACCAAAATCGTGAATTTCCAAGGTTTTTTTTATGTAGTAGAGAATGAAATATGAATATTTTTTTATGTGGTAGAGTGAATTTGAAACACTAATTTTTAATTTCACCTTAGAAATTTGTGTCCATTAGTGGAAAAATAAAAATATAATACTTTCCGTAGGAATATAATATCAATAATAAACAAATTCGTAATGAGTTCTAATAGAATGATGTAGTTTTATTGCATAAATTTTTAAATTATTTTAATTACATTATAAAGGATATTGGTTTGTATTACGGCAATTTTTTTAAAAAGAATTTGTACACATATACGTATGTATGTATGTAGTTCAGATAAATAGACAGATACTAGTATCAAAGACAATTTGCTTGAGTTGTTTAGCTATAATTTAGGTTATTATTCAGGTTATCCTAAAATTTTATAGTGGAATCATATAATATGTTCACATTTTTCTTTCTCTATAAATAAAAGTAAATCAAGAATTTTAACATACACATTAGATTCAGATTTGATTTGTTCTGCAGCAGGCACCTTTTTTTTAACGCCGCGGTTTTAACTTGACGTTGATTATGTCTGCGTATAAATGAGAACGATCACCCATGCACAACAGGAAAATTTCTTTGAGTATTTTGCCCACATGACCAGTTAGTACAATTTTCAAGTCAAGCTAATAATTTTATCGGATATACTTGACCTGAATTCAATATGATCTCAAAGCTGGTTTGAAGTCGGCTACAAAGTCATATTAACGCAGTAATTTTCATCGTCGCTTCTTTTAATTTACATGATTCGCAATATTTAAAATAGAATACATATATGCAGCAGTGAAGTACCATGTATACTCGGCGCATGTTTATAATCATAGAATATGCGAAATTTATGTGGACATGACGTGTAGTAGCAGATATTGTAATTTTTGATTTAGCCACGGCTGACAGGAGTACTTGATTTATTGTTTATGATATTTTTATGTCAAGAATGTAACGTAAAAAAATTTGTATCAATAATTCGCTTACTTCATTTATTACTTTCTAAAAAGTGAAGTTTTTCTATCCAGTAATGAAATAGGTTCAGAGCAAGTGCTTTGTTCTATACAGTACTGAAAATTTATATTCAGTAATAAAAAGTAGGATATGGAGTATTTCTCGAGCTTTATTCATTATTTTGCTTTTTCGTTCTATTAAAGACTTTAATTTTTTGTTTTATAAAAATACATTATACATGTATGTATGTACATGTGTGTTTAAATCACGGTTTAAATTAATAATCTAAATTTTCGGCATTTGTAAATTTGTACATATAGAACTTTCTCATTATTTTGCAGGTTATGGTAACATTGCCCCAAAATCAATTTGGGGTAAAATATCAACAATTATATATGCAATAATTGGTATGCCATTATTTTTACTTTATCTGTCAAATATTGGTGATATTTTGGCAAAGTCATTCAAGTGGACGTATGCAAAATTATTTTTATGTCGGATTTGTCCAGCAGTAACTAGAAGACGTGCTATTAGAGAAAGGAAAAAAATGAGACAGTTGACAGCTGAAAGAGAAGTAAGTTAACATATATTTGAAATTTTAAAATTTTCAAACTGGTACTGGACTCTAAAATTAATTACCTTAAAATTTGTTTTAAGATGAACCGTAGCATATCTAGCAGCGAAGGCAGTGGTAGTAGTATTAGTCCTGATAATGATGTTGAAAGTTATGATAGAGGAATGAGAAATTATCGCAGAAGTAGATATTATGTACGTGATTATAATAATAGTGTTGATGATGATAGAAGCATCGATGATGATGATAATGATGTTGAAGATGGTGAAGATGATGACGATGACGATGATACAGATATTCAAGCCAAATTACAAGCTGATACTGCAACAATAACTGTACCCTTAACAGTTTGTATTTGTATTATGATTGGGTAAGAAAAATACATACATACATACATATGTATGTATATGATTTAGATTTTCAAAAATGAAATTTATATGGTGTATGCTATAAAATGTCTTATAAAGGCAGGATTTTTGTTTTAGAAAAAAAAATTGCAATGTGTTAAAATTATGTCTTTTTTCTTACGTATGTTACTCAAATTTTTGCGTTTGAAGAATAATATTCAAATTCAGAAAAATATCTGTATCAATCTACTTTTATGTTTATATAGAAAATTACTATTATAAAGTCATGATTCTTATATTACGCTTTTTTGTAACTTGGCCCGTATGTTTAATGATGTTTAAATTTTTAGGTATATTTTATTTGGCGCAACACTATTTCATAGATGGGAAAATTGGAAATTATTAGATGGAAGTTATTTTTGCTTTATATCATTAAGTAGTATTGGTTTTGGTGATATTGTACCTGGAGATAAAATGGTAAGATATTTAAAAAACATGAGGAATATGAAAATATTTAAAACCACTAAATAAAGCGAAGTTTATTGGATTAGATTTTTGGTAATCTGCATTTAAGCAGTAATTATTATTTTCAAATGTTAAGATATACCTAACAATTGAAATTTTAAGAAATGTATAACCAAATAATCTATTGATTCAAATCGATTCAAATTACAACAGGTTAACAATACATATGTAAATCTTCTAGGATTAATACCTTATACATCCTTTTACTTTCAAGTTTATTTTTACATTTTTTATATTCTGAAGACATGCACAAACCTTTAGTTTTAGTTCTGATGCAAATGACAATTGTAATAAATAAAAGCAGAAAAAATTTTTTTTGGTGATAAACGGAGAAATATGTATAAACGTTTTTCATCTTTCAATATGCCGAAAACCGAAGTATTTTAAAAACTTTTCTTGGTCCGTAAACATTTTTGAATTTAAAAGCTTTTTCAAACAATTAAATTTATTTGATTTTTTCTTTTGATAAAAGCTGATAATTGCAATGTTTTTGTTAAAACTTTCCTTTACTAAAAGATAAAACCAAAATTAAAAATTGATAAAGAAATAAAGATAACCTCCGGCTAGTGTGTGATAATAATTCCAAAAAGTAGAGCAAAAAATGTTTTCTGTGAAAGGGAAACTTTGTTTGCAGAGTGAAAATTGGACAAAAAAATTATGTTTAGAGTATTCTTTTCTACTCTAACATTTCATAAGTTAATAAAAATTATTGAGAAACAACATTTTTTTTAAATTTAATTTCATTAAACCTTAAATTGAAAGGAACAAAAAAAAAGGAATAGGAAAACGTAAGATTTTAAAAGTTATTCAAACTATTATTAACCGATTTTTATATTCTTTTTTGTTATTTTTGAAGAAAAACTTTTAAACTTAAAAATTTAAAACGCATAAAAAATTAAAAGAAAAAATGTTTTTTTTTTTTCACTTATGTATTAGTTCGGTTGAAATGTTTTCACACTCAGAATTAGTTTTATTAAATTAATATTTCAGTTCAAATTAATATTTATAATACTTTCAGTGCATAACAAATTATGCTTGTCTGTCGAGAATATTCGTTATGATTAAACACTCGGAAATTTTCGAATTCTGTAGGTAGGTGGGTACCTATATGTTTAGACCCGGTCTGAAACATTAACCACAAGAAGTCCTTGAAAAAATTTTTGCCATCTAAGCTGCACTTGTTTGGAATCAACAGTTTGGCTTTTAAAAAAAATTATCTATTTGAAAAAAATTGTTAAAATATTATCTATTTCCTACTTTTTTGCGTTATTAGAAAACAAATTTAAAAATAATATTCAAAAGGAAACCTCATACAAATAATATTACTAAGACGAAATACATTTAATTTATTTTTATTTAGCTCCAACTTAGTATTAAAAAATATTTTCTTGATGACTTTTCTGGCTACTTTTTTTTTGTTCTTTAAAAAGTTCTTTAAAATTTTTGTAAATTTTTTTTTTATTTTAAAGTGATTTTCATTAAAATAAATTTTTGTATTCACATAAATATAAAATGAAAATTACAAAGTCGTTGCTTAATAAAAAAATGTTATAATTTTCCGTTTAGACTTAAAATTAGTAGCTGCAATCTCAACTACACACAAATTGAGAATAGATAGAGTACCTGTGGTACAAAATAGGGGAAAAAAAGAAAATGATGCCAGAAATTTGTCTTGTGACCTTGTTAATCAAATGCTTGAGCATCGCAAATAAAACATTTTCTGGGTTATTATTAAATTATTTTTCAATCATACGTTTCAGCTAGCAAAAAAAAGAGGCAGGGAGACTATTGCAAAATTCAAACAAACACATAGATAGTTTGACTTTGCAGAACAAAGACATTTTAATACTTACAAAATTTTAGTTGTGGGCTCGAATCGACAGACAATAGGCTCGAATTTTTTGTTTTAACTAAATTTTACTAAAAAACAAAAAATAGCAAAGAAATAGCAAAGTTTTCTTGCATTTAAAAAGTTTTTATTTTCTGTTTTTTTTTTATATATTAAAATATTAATTTCTTTTAACTTTAAGAGAATAAAGAGAAAATATATATGTAGTTGTTTATCTATCTTCTCATTACTTTTTATAAGAAGAATATCAACTAAATATGAAAATGTTTTTTTGAAGACATTTTCGCTTGTTTGCTGTTATATTCTTCTTTCTTCAATTTCTGACTACATACATAAATTTTATACAGAAAGGATGAGAAAAATATCATTACAAATAATAATTCTTCCTGGAAGAAACTAACTTAAAGCAAGCAACAACAAACAAAAAATTAAGAAAGGAAATATATTCGTATGCTTTTTTTCGTATGCTTAAATTGCATCCGAAATTTTTAATATAATTTGTTTCCTTTTCTAATGAGAGAAAAAAGTAAATCATTTTTAAATAAATCATGGTTTTATTATTATTCCTTTTGACACTTCGTTATGCATTATTATAGTATTGCACCTTGTACATATATACAACAAATTTTAATTTGAGCCACTTTGATTAAAGCAATATTACAATTTTTTTAAGACAAAATTTTTGTTTTTAAATAATTAGCGCTTTTTATAAAATTTTGCACAAGCAAATATTTGAAAAATAATAATTTTGTTTAAACTACATTCTTATACTTCATCTTAAATAAGCTATCGCAAAATTGCAAATATACCTAGATAGCATTTATTTTATTTCTTAAATGACCGAATAAAATGGAAAACAACTATACCTTTGGTATATTTTAAAGATCGTTTATTTTTCCGAAAGTCCATAAACAAAAAAAAACAGGAAACTAAAATGTATAAGTAATGGATTAAGAATGAAAACTTACATAAGTTTGTATGGGTATATAACTTAGTTTCTTAGTAAATGCAATGTTTTTGTACCGAATGTCATTTTGTATAAATAAAAGCTGAAAAAAATATATATATTCTATTTCACGTTTATTCAACTAAAATATCCATGTAAAGACCAAAATATCAAATCGTGAAACAAGAAATGACATGGTTATACTTTACAATATTAAGACCAGAATACGTAAATTTCTCACTTCACAAGTATTAGAGCTTATTGACTTATTGTTTTTGAGCAGATGCCGATACATATATTATATGAGGATAGTGAAAATTTATTGAAGCATAAAGCATCTCTCGTAAAATCCCTTTTTTAAATCTGATTAAAAATAATTACATTTTAAAAATTTTACACAAAATGAAAAATATCCAATACTTGTGTGAATGGTTTTCTCTTTGTTATGTTGCTATATTATAAACGTTAAACAATGTCAAATATAAGAAACACTAAATAACAGTAGAGCTTTATAAGGAAAAGAACTAATTTTATATTTTTTATAAGGATGAAGAAAAAAATTCAACGGGTAAAAATTTATTACACAGAAAAAGAAAAATAAATTGTCCTTTCTTTTGTTTGTTGTTTGCCATCCCGTACATACCTACATATACTTGCTCTTCTTATTATGGCCACTGTTGTTATTTATTTTTTTTTTACTTTAATTTGTTTTCCTGATCCACATACGGATGAAACGATCGGTAGTGTTTGTTATTTTATTTCCTTTCATTACTATTTTTTTTTTCTTATACGATAAAGAAATTTTTTTAGAATAATTTTTTTGTTGCTGTGTGCTGCACACATCACTACAAATTTCGTATCCTGGACATGGTTTATATACTAAGAAATTGAATTTATTTACTCTCATTTTATTCATACAAATTGAAGGTAAATTTGTTGGGATTTTCTATATTATTTTTGTCTTTAGAATAAGACTAGCAAGAAAACCAACAAGCTTTCTATTTGTTGTTTTTGTGTTTTTTGCTTCTTAACTAAGAATGAATAAAACATATGGTTTGTGGCTTTTCTTAGAGGTTATACGGAATAAAAAAAAGGATACACGAAAATTGTTTTATTTATACTTTTACTTTTTATTTTTATCATTTTGGAAATGAAAAAAAAAAATTATGAGAAAATTCTAACATTTTGTACACATATACAAGCCAAGTTATATGTGGTGTGGTATTGAATACAAAAGTGATATAAGATAATATAATTCAAAAAAAAAAAAATTTATAAGGCAAAACTTGAAAATTTATTAATTTATTTTAAATATACTAAATGTATTATATTATAATAAGGAAAACAAAATGAAAAATTGAAAACGGATAGAAAAAATTAAAAAAAAGAGTACGAAAGTCAGAATTTACGTTTCAGTTTTCCATTTTAAAATAAATTTATAATAAAGTTTTTTTATTGTTTGTTTGTGAACTAAAATGTGTTCCAAATTTATTTGAAAATAGGGCGTGTATTAAGAGAATTTTAACATTTCTCATAAAAAATGTGATTAAAAATGATTTGAACTAACACCTGGTTTTACTATGATTCCACAAAGACTTTATGATGCTAATGTTCTAATTCATAATGGACCTTAACTATGTTAAAAAAAATTCAGTCTTGCTACACAATTCAGTAATTGCAATTCATAAGCCAAAAATTGTATTAATACCGTATTACGATAATTTTGAAGTCAAGGAGAGTTTTCTTATTTTGTTTTTATTTTTAAAATATGACCAACATTTGCTTGTTGAATGGAAATAAGAGCCATATTGCCGCCCCCTAAAATAATTTTTGTTCATTTTAATCTATAAATGAAATTTCCAACAAAAAAACAATTAAAATAAGGAAACCATTGAAAACACATTTTTTCGTACAAAGTCAAAAAATTTTCCAGCTACCTGTTTTAGTTGCAAATATTTTACTGTTAAAGTATTAAAATAATGCCGGCACTTAATCTGACCCTGGAAAATTTTCATATTTATTCGTATGAAGTACATATATACACGTAGGAGTATGCATTAGAGAAGACAAAAAAAACAATTTAATTTAGAAAAGGTTGTGACAAAAACCAAAAAGAAGCGTCTTCACCTATTTTTTTTACATTTTTACTTTAATATTATTTTTGTTTTTTTTTTTCAAATTAAAATTGTTTATATGCCAGTAACAAGAGGTTTTTTTTATTAAAAGGATCTAAAAATGGATGAAAATTTTTAAAAATAAATAACATTTTAATTTAAATTTGTTTTAAATAAGAGGAGGAGTATAATTAAAAGTAAATTTATTTATAACAGTGATAATTTATTTCGTATATAATTTGGAACATTCTGGTGAATAGTAGTCCAACTTTGTATATGAGGCAATATTTCTTTTTTCTTGAAAATAAATTGAATTTATAAGTCGATTTTATAATTATAATTAAAATACGAAATCAAATTGTGGAACTTTTTACTAATTTGATTAAATATCATAATTTCGTAATTAAATATTATTGGATTCAGACTAAAAATGGACTGTTTCTTTTATCTGTGTAGAATACTTGAAATTTTGTTTTTTTTTTAAGGACTGCAGATTAGATTTCCACGGCAGATAATTTTTCAACTAGTGTTAACTAACAAATTATGTCTGTAATAGTTAATAGCATTAAATTCGAATAACTGAAACCAACAGGCATTATTAAAGTCAAATATGCAGGAAACATATTGTTTGAAAAATAAATTTTGTTTCTTATTTTTAGACTGGCGGTGAATTGGATAAAGTTGAAGTCAGTTTTATATTATGTGCCGTTTATTTATTATTGGGGATGGCTTTAATTGCAATGTGTTTTAATTTAATGCAAGTAAGTATATGATAAAAAAAATATCTTTTGATGTTACTATTTATTTTTAATATAATAATAAAAGAAATTAAAATAATATAATTATTAAGAGGGTAAGTTAGTTAACTAGTTCTAGGTTAGGTTAGATCGACATGGTTAATGTAAGGTACATATAGGACAGATAGGCCCGTTATGATATCGCTGAATAAGAGCTCTAATTCTAAGTACATATATAATATAATAAAATTAAGAAGAATTCGTTTAAATTTTACCAGTGAAATAAATTAAAGTTTTCGTATTTAAATATCAATTTATTCTGCAATATAATGAAAAGAAGTTATAAAAATATTTTTAACTTATCGTAAAATAAATTTAAAAAGGAATACCGTATAGGCTTAAAATCAAAAATGATGAAGATTTTTAATAATTTTATAATTACAAACCTTTTTTTAATTAATCGTTTTTTTTTTTTGTTTGGTTTCAATAAGACTTTTAAGTACTCGTCATTCTAAAATCCTTGGAATGTTAAAATCAAGAAAATTTCTCTTGAAATATTTTAAAAGATGTTGTAAGATTTCTACTTAATAGAAATTTGGCATTGAATGTTTTGGTAGTTTAATTGAAATTTCCATTGGAATGGTTTTTAATCTATCAACATTTTTTAAATTAATTTGAAATAAATTGAAATTAAGAAAAAGAAAAGTTGAATTCTGTTAAAATTGCAGAATATGAAGTAAATGATGAAGATGATTATAATGATTATGATAACGATCGTAAAGATGACGACCTGTGATTATATTAAAGTAAAAGTTTTAAGAAAAAAAAGAATAAAAATTTCAGAAATTTCTATAATGGTTTCCTCTTTTTGGAAAGTTACATTGGAAAAACGTCATCAAAAAATTGTTAAAATACATTTTTAAAGAATTAAAAAAATGAAAAAGAAAAAACAATAATAAGTTTTTCCTCTTAATTTATTTTTTGTATTGAAGAAATGTAAATTTTTTTTTAAATTTTAAATTCAAAGAATGTAAATGGAATTTTAGTATTTTAACCTTCAGATTTTCCCTTAAGTGATTTGGTTTTGCTCATACAATCTTATGGTTTTCATAGACAGAATGTTAAATTTTTAATATGCGAAAATTTTTTTACTTCTTCTATTTTTGTTTATGAGTTCCACAACTCCACTTCAGTAACTAAGTTTTTTTATTTAAATTAATAGGATGCCATAATATATTAAAAGAAGTACATGTACTCTTTAGATAGATAAAAAAAAATTTGGGGAAAAAAAATAATTTTATATGTTTCAAACTTGAATTTAAACAAAATTTAAAAAATTAATTTTTGTATATCCAAAATCAACCGTTCCGAAATCATTTCCTCTTTTCAGAAATAAAATTTCAAGCTCAAAATATAACAAAAGTATCATTAGTAAAATAAATTCTTCAATTCAGAAATAGAATTGAAGAAAAATACATACATACATATATTTTATTACGAAATTGTATCACATTTTTAGGTATAGAAAATAAATAATTGTACAATACGCATTTTTTCCATCGATATCTGAGTATTCTCTTCCTCTATTTAAATTTCAAAGCAAAATGAAACAAAAAAATTAATTTTTTCCCGAAAATGTGTTTTAGGTATATGAAAATTCTAAAAAAAATGCATGAAATATGTGTGCAATGTTGGCGAAAGCGATCTCGAGCGGGTAACGAGTAAGAAAAATTGCAAATGTGTTTTATATAGAATGCAAGAATTATATAGAATGCTATAGAATATTATATAGACGCAGTCATTGAACGACAAAGTAAAGCTGTTGATTTGACACAATTTTTTTGAAGAAGTTTAAATATGCATCACATAATTAACCAGTTCGACTTTGATTGCTTAATTATTTTATTAAATTTTATATTACCAATGATAAATTATTTAAATATGTCTGCCTCTCCTTCAGTGATTTTCTTTACAGTTTCTAAGAACATGCACTTTTGAATGAACAATGATGTGAAAATTCGTATATTCAATTAATTTAATTGGTTCAGTAAAAAATTTTTTTATTGAAATTTTCTTTTCATTTTAGATTAACTTCCGTTTTATTCTAAAAATACAATTTTATGTATACTGTCTTGAGAATAATATATAATATATTCCCATAAAATTCACATGCCTTTTGAAAAATTCGTTTTCTTAAAAAGATGGGAAATCAAAATGAAAATTATAATGTGAAATTCTAAAATAATGAAAAAAAAGCAAAAAGTAATAAACAATATAAAAAATTGAAGTGAAAATCATAAAGTGGAAACGGAAATAGCAATTTTTTTTTATGTCACAGCTTATAATGGATTTCGTTTTATGAATTTTTTGATTTTATTCACACATGTATGTGGAGTGACTTATTGCTGTTATTGAAAAATAATCAATTTTTGTAAAATTTGTAAATCGGGTTCCTGTAGGTAGTATACAATTATATAAATGTGATTCTATCTTCAAATGATCCCAATTTTCATTTGAAATTTTTACATTGAAAATAATTTTACAGGAAAATTGGAACATCGATTTGCCTTTTACAAATACTAAAAATCTTAAAAGCTATATAAAAAAATTTCTAAAAAATTGAATCGTCAGTTCGAATATATTAGGTAACCGTTTTTCAGTTATACTCCATTACTTTATTTTTAATGTAATAGATTTTAGTTAATTAGTTATTTATTAATTTAGCTTCATCTTTCTTAGTATCTTCTGTTTATTCTAGATTGAATTATATTAAAAAAATTAGTTTGCTCTTTTATATTTTTTTAGAATAGAAATTTTACTTTATTTACAACTTATTTATTCTTCTTAAGCAATTTTTCTTCAGGATCTATAAAAATTTTACTACAAATTTAAAAAGGAAGAAAAAAAATTATAAAGAAGCTTTGTTTTCCTTTTTTTTTGCTTCTTAGAAAAATTTTTGTTATTGTCAACTTTAATAACATTTTATAGTCCCAGTTCATGTTTTTAAATTTAAAAAAATCATATTTAGCATAACTGGAATATAGTTTTCAAGTTGAATTGAAAAAATTCATCCCTATATGTGAGTTACATATACGACACCTACATACATATTTATGGATAAGTAGGTATGATTTATTCTTAAGAAGAGATTGAAAAAAATTTTTACTTCAAAAACTTTTAATTTTGTTCCTTAATATTATGTAGAGATTTTAGGAATTTAAAGAAATAACATTACCATATTATTAGGTTGTAGTTTCGGTTTCTACATTTCAATATTAAGTTGTCAATATCTTTTTATCAAAATGCTAATTTTAAAGCAGTCTATGAGTTCTAACAAGGTCGTGCGAAAAACGTTACTAGATATTTAAATAAAATTATGCGTTGACGCCAAATTTAATTTTCTACTAAATTTTTTACTAACATTTTTAATAATTTATTTTGCATTTACAGGAACAAGTTATTCATAATATGCAAGCTTTTAAACGTGTACTACGTGGTTGTTTTAGATGCAACAGGTGAAAATTTCCAGCGTATAATCAAAATGAAAAATAATAAAAAATGAAAAGTTTGAATTGATAAACGAATATTCTTAATTCATTCAACAATCAGTCTAAAGAAAAAGGGACTAAAAACAACTATAAAAATAATATACAAATATAATATACAAAAAGAAAGAAAAAAATTAAAATGTCAAACAATAAAATTGCCAGAACATTATGATAAAACATCGAAAATTTTCTTTAGGAATGAGAAAAAAATTTGTAGAAAAGGTTGAAAATATAAAAATTATAAGAATTATGCACGTGTACTTTGGACAGTAGAGGCGGAATTCCAGAAAAACAAAAAGAAATAAAGCAAAACGACCAAAATTTTGAATTTTTTCGGATGTCATTTTTTTCTCAGAATTGAGCTGATAAAAATGATATTTTTATGCATAGCTAAAGCTAAAAATAATCAAAAATTATGAATAAAATTACTGATAACAAAAATAATCAAAAAAAGTTATCACATTGTGGTATGAGACGCAGTTATTTCTATAATTTAAATGATAACCATCGTTATTGTGTTAATTACCTACTATACTTATAAAAACGTATAGTAGGGTGAGGCTGTTAAAAGGATGTTTGCTACTATACACATTGGGCGAGAATTTCTTTTTTAAGTTAAACTATACGTTTTTTTTCTCTTTTTTTCTAAAATAAAAGTGAAAAAAATAATATTAAAATAGAATGCCCCAAACAAAAAATTACAGGAAAAAATGTAAAAATAAGCATGAAAATAATTCTGGAAGAATACAGATAAGAATAATGAAAATAATAAGTCAAGAATAAAATGGCTATAAAGCGGTCACTTAAGAGATTAAACAAAGGGTTGTTGAAGTTGATTTTTATACTTTACCAGGAAACTATATTAAGTGCAATATTTTTTTAGGTATATTCAAAATATTTTACACGTTCATAACAATATGAAGTAAATCATAATGTTTTTAATGGATTTGAATATATAGTTTGAAACGATAATATGCTGGGGGTTATATTTCAATTAATCTGTGGATGTGAACAATAGAAATCAATTATATTTTGAAGATTTTATAATATTCAAATGAATTTTTTGAAATAAGATTAATTAACACCTGAGTTGTTTGATTAATTAACACCTGAAGTGTTGGTAAGAAAATCTAAATTTTTGTATATTGCATACTTTTTTACAAATTTAGTATTTCTTTATACTAAATATAAGCTAAAAATGGATTTTTGTAAATGGTCTGAACTTTCTTTTGATTGTCTTTTTAGTTTCGCTTTAGTAATGTTATTTGAAATTAAAATTTAGCATAGTGCTTAAAGTGGTGAACATTTAATTCCATTAACTAAGTATAAGAGAGTTTTTTCATTTTATTAATTATTTGAAACTATATTCGTTTTAATTTGGGTCGTTGAAATTGAATTAAAAGAGATTTATTTAAAAATTTTATACTAACAAAATGACCCACATTATAAGGATGCATTAAGAAGTTTTTATTACACTTTTTTTGCATTTTTATATTATTTTGAATAATTCATTAACAACTACTTACTTTTTTTTGCTTTTATCTTTTCAGGAATTTATTGCACTAATTATGCTGTGATCATCTTTGTTGATTTTTAATTATTGTAACTCCGCAAAGCAAAAATTTTTCATCATTATTTAGAGTGTTTTTTTTACTGTGAGAAAAAATTGACTTTTTAACTATGCAGTGGGATGTCTTTTATTCAGCCATTATGTACTTTTGAAAAAACAACTAATTTTCAATTCATATTAAACTGATAGTCTGACTATGAACATGTAAATTAAAGTAAATAGCACTTGAAAAAGAAAGATATCAAGGTGTACACTTCCATCTTCACATCATTTTCATGTTAATTAGCATCAAAACCATTGATAAATTTCAAATAGCTCGATTAAAATAAAAGAATGCAACAATATGATAATGAATTAGCATAGAATGGGAATTAAAAATAAAAAATTATAGCCTTTTACTGGTTGAATTATATTTGTGATGATTCTTACTTTTCTTATTCTGATATTATTAATTAAAAAAATCTAACTCCATTTAATTTGCACTACATAGTCAAAGCAAAGTAAACCAAAAGAACATATTATTAAGTGTACATTAGGAAGAAGAGAAATAAATGAAAATTGTAACAAATTCAAATCATCGGTTAAAATGTGTGGGAGTGGACTAAACTAAATATTGAAGGAAATTATCATTAGAAAAAGAAAATTAGATTTAAAAGATTAAAAAAGAAAAATTGAATAGTTTGTAACTTGAACCAACATTGAATGAAATGGAACTAAGCAGGAAGATACTTAAAAATAATATAATTGCAAAGATGCAGGCTTTTTCAAATTTCTTTAAGAGCAATTTATAAATTAAATCTCAATGTTAGAAGAATAATGAGTATTACATTATAATATATAATTTAAAATAAAAAAGAATACAAAAAGTGATCTATTGGAATTCGAATTTGGATTGGATTAAAACAAAAATAAAAATTAAAATTATATTGAGGTCAAAATTTATTTTAAATTAAATAAGTGTAAATTGGGGATATTCAAAAGATTTTTAACAAATTTTTTCAGAAAAACTCTTAAATTTTAAATATATAAGTAAGAGTTGTGAGATACCCAAAATACACAAAATTAAGAAATTACTATTTAAAAAATGTTGATAGAGTTATTTTATGGATTAAATACGTAAATATAGTTTTAGTTTAAGTAAAAAAGAGAGTTTTAGTAAAGTAGTTTTAAGAGTATTATTGGTATAAAATTTAAATTTCAATTCAAAGTTCATTGCTTTGAGTTAGTTATAGCGATAAAATTAATTTTAATTGCCACAATCTTAATTTATTAAACGAATTAATAAATGCTTTGGAATGAAAATATTTGATTATTTTTTTAAATTCTAAAAATATATCATAAATAAAGAAAAAGATAGATAAAGATAGAGATATAGCAAGCATATTATTTTATAATTAAGATTATAGATTTCAAATAGATTTGAAATATGAATTAAATTGTATGACAAAGACAAGTAATTTTGTACTAATAAATTGTAAATTATTTCCAATTTAATGTTTAATATGTATGATATTTTCAAAGCCGAGGATAACGGAAGTTTCGAAGAGCTCAAATTCTTTTCGAGCAAAATTTTGTGAAGATCACTGAGATCTTATTGGTTTTAGGAAAACCGCATGATAACGCTAAAATATTGAAGCTTCGAGTTTTATTATTATCCTGGGACTGCCTTAGGTTTTAAAAACAGTTCGTAATTAAATTAGAAATATCTAAAATTTTATTTTATATTATTCAAAAAATAACCCATACTTGGAATTTCCTATCTTTTACAAGAAAATTGTACATTGGTTACATTAAATTTATAAAAACAAGGATATTTACAGGTTGAAGGTACTTAAATAATCAAGTTTTTTTCAATTTCAGTGGTATCTTATCTCTGTTAATAATTAAATTTAATTAAATAATTTATAATTTTTAATTACATGATTTCAATAAATTCACTCGTATTATATGTTACACTCTTTATTTTTTCTTTTAAAGGAAAATTTAGGGTATTATTTCTTTACAAATGAAGGGTTTTATTAAAAACTAAGATTCTTAATTATTTTTGATAAATGCTATTTCTATTATTATTATTACTAATTTATTTGAAATATTAATTTTTATTTTTGTGTCACCACAAGAAAAAAATATTATTTTAATTAAAATTTCTGTATACAAAATAATTAATCCTTAAAATTATAGTATTTAATTACCGATTTACACCTTTTCAAGAAAAGAGTATAAAATATTTTTTTTGTTCTCTGTTATCCTTTGTGTGTCATTTCTTTAAATATAAAATTATTCAACTTTTTCGACCTAATATTCGTTTTATAGGTCCTTAAAATTACAGTATGGGTGGGAAAAACTTCCTTATGACTTTTGAAAGGATTTTACAAAAAAAGGACTATGTAGAATTTTTTATATTTTATTTTTTGTTTTTACCGCAAAATGACAAGTTTGTAGCGCCTTATCTCAACCAGCATAATAAATTAATACGGGTGGAAACAAAAAAAAATTTTGTTACTCACTTTAATTTTTATTGTGGGCTTTTTCTTCTTTGTTATGGAAAATTGAAAGAAAAACACTGTAATATCAACAACTTCAGTGATAATTATAGCAAAAAATGCAGAAGTCAAGAAAACTTTTATCGTAGATAAAATTAACGAACGAATCCTTTTTTAATTTGGCTATCAACAAACAAAATAAACAAAGCAAAAATATAATATTTATCTTATCTAAGTGTGAAATTAAATACAAAATTAAATAACAATGATTATAAAAGTACAAAAAACAAAGCTGTAGAGGAACTACAACAGTTAAAGTACAAAACAACTGTAGAAATTAAGGACACCGCAAAACAAAAAGTGAAACTTTTGGTTTGTTGTTTTTATTTACAAAAATAAAACTTTTATTGTTGTTTTTCTTTTCTTATTTGTTTTTAATGAATGGTCATGAAAAGCCATAAAGGTTGTTTCCTTTTATCAGAAAAAAGAAATCGTTATAAAATTTAAACGGTCTACTGATAGGTACCAATCTATTGTCAAAACGGTCTCCTGATGTAGCTCATTTATATTTAAAATATTAACCGTAAATCAATGGTTAAATTAATTTTTATAAGATCTTTTTGAATATTTTTTCTATTATGCTAAGAGTTGTATGTATTGTCTTGCATTAATATTATATTTTAATAAAAATGAAACACAAATTAAATGAAATATTAAATGAAAATCAAATTCTTTAAGTTTAAAGAATCTTTAAGGTTTTTAAATTTTTTGAATTTCTGAATATTTATTACGATTTTCAATAACTTAAAAAAAGTGAAATAAAGAAAACTTCTTTTAATATAAGATTTGATATTAAATTATTAGTATTTTTCAATAAAAATAAAAAGGCTTTAATTAAGTTTTCTACTTTATACAAAAATTTTAATTAAAAATGTAAAATATAAAAATTTGACTGCTTTGTCTCAACTTCTTTTGAAGAAGTCATTGCTAAAACAATTTTAAGTACAATTTTAACTTTGAATTGGAGTAATATATTAACATATAATATACATATCTACTCATAATGTCATAAAACCACATATTTAAATAACGTTCGTACAAACACATTTCATTTAGTCAAACTTAATAAGTAAATATTTATATACATTACAGTCTGAATTTGGAAGAAATTAAAAATTTGTAATATGTATGTACGTTACATATATGATGAAAGATTAATGCCATAAAGTATGACGGCAGGGTTAAAAAATTTTTAAAGATAGTCAAATTATTACAGATAGTTTGAACAGGTAGTCAAATTATTAATGAATCTTCTTGTAGCATAGGTTTATGTAATATAGATATTAAAGCCCATATACTAACTTCTAAAAATATAAGTTAGTTCACACAATTTATGTATTGAGTTCCGCTTTGTTAAGTCTTCTAAGTCATGTTTGAATATACATTTTCTTTTTTAATCCAATTTGGAAGGATCAACGTACAATTATTAGTTTTTGATGGCATTAAAGTTTTTGAATCACTTATGTAGCTTTTCACCGGATCCCTTACACTGTTAATTAAGACACAGCAGGAATTCAAACATTTTCATTTTCTTCCTTCAAACGTTCACATTTAATTCTACATCTTCCATTTCTTATAAGACATTTATGAAGTTCTTCTGAAAGAAAATTTTTTCTCATTCTCTTGTCAAGATGTGCAAGCGTGTTTATAAAAGTACATGCGCATGGGATCATAACAATATTTATCTTTTAAAATTTAAAATATTTCTTTATATACTAGGAAATATAAAATAATGATAAAAGCTGAGCTTTTTCGAAAATTCAGTTCTAACTTAGTTCTGAATGTAAAGCACGTTCGATAAATTGAATCTGCAAAATCTGTAAAAGTAGCATGTTCGATAATGTTCTCGTGCAAAAAAAGCTCGTTCAAAAATACGATTGAGCTTTAAGTTCTTAAGCAATTTTAAAGATTTTTTTTTAATACTGCAATAAAAGTGAAAATTAGTAAAATAGAAAAATGTCGGATATTGAAGAATTAATGGGGTAAATTTATGCAATTTTTGTTTTGTACATTTAATAATTTATGTTTTTCTTTCATAGAGAGCTAGAAAATGAAAAATTTTCCAGATAAAAACGTATATTACTTTTTTCAATTTTTTCATTAAGTAGATCAATTATCTGATCTGTAACATATTTGCCTAGAAATTTTTTTTGTTCTTCAGACATATTTCTTTTTTTATTTTTATAAAATTGACAATTTGCAAACAACAAAAAATAGCTTCTTAAAAAAAATTATAGACATTTCAAACATGCAAAGATATGTCATTCAGATTGTAGAAGTTCGTAAGTATGCGTAAAGTTAGATCTTTCAGTACAGAACTGAATTATCGAGAGAAGAAATGGGCTTTTCATAGTGAGCTTCTTAATTTAAAAATAATTTCTAATATGTAATTTCAATTTCAAAATAAATATAAAATTAATTCCCATACCAAACATATTTATACATATATGGGTGTGTAAATGTAGAAGTTATTTTTTTTGAGTTTTACAATTTACGATATTATTTTCTTTGAACTTACCACGTATAGAACCTAAATTTTGTACATTTTTCATGTTTGGTTATACACCTAAGTATATATGAGAACTGTTTCACGAGCATTGTACTGTCATTTCTTCTTGCTTCTCTTAAGGTATGCAGATATTAGATTGTTCTTGAAAAAAGTTTAATTTAATGATTACATTGTAAAATACAATGTAAGTTTTATTCTTTTTCTTATGGATTAAAAGCAAAAGTATTGTATAAAAAAATTAATTTTTACGTATTATGAAAATATTATACAGCACATGTCTATAAGTATATAATTATATATGCAAATAAAAAGAATGTATATGGTACACCCTCGACATATTATTACAATTATGAGCGATTAACCCTAAACTTCTTAATAAAATTTCTTTCAATATTGTTTTCTCAAAAATACACCTTTCAATCAGTTACAAGTATAAAAAGAACCAAGAATATATAGCTTACGATATATGCAATAGTTCTTATTGTGAAATGCTTATGTAGCGGCTCATTGCATGATTACTATCGCTAATTATCTTCAAGATATTTCTTAAATTGGCAACATTAGGGTTAATAAGCCTCAAAAAAAATATAAAAGGCAATGACAAGAGGTGAAGAATTTTAGCTTTTATTTATACTTTTTCTTTTTTTTTTCTTTTAAATATGGCATGTTTGGAAAATTTGATAATATCTTAGCCCAACATAAGCAACAAAAAATGGTTACATAAAAAAAATAAACTTGAATGAAAATATAAGAACAATATTTTAAGGGAAACATTGCAAGAAAATAAATAAGCATAATTGCAAATTTGACTTTTAAAAATAAGAAAAAAACAAACAGTACAATCAACATAAGAACAGAATAAAATCAAAAAATTTAAGAAGGATAAAAAGGATAAAACAAGAGAAAGAGTA